ATTGCCACATTATACCCCACTTGAGAACTTGGGTCACGTTACTGTCAGTTATTCAGTGTCGTACGTCTGTGTGATCTATTTATTCGGCGTCGTACGTCTACGTCTCAACTGGGGCAGGGACAGATATATTGCTCTATTCGGCACCATCGATGCACATATGTATGAGGTCAAATTGCCACATTATACCCCACTTGAGAACTTGGGTCACGTTACTGTCAGTTATTCAGTGTCGTACGTCTGTGTGATCTATTTATTCGGCGTCGTACGTCTACGTCTCAACTGGGGCAGGGACAGATATATTGCTCTATTCGGCACCATCGATGCACATATGTATGAGGTCAAATTGCCACATTATACCCCACTTGAGAACTTGGGTCACGTTACTGTCAGTTATTCAGTGTCGTACGTCTGTGTGATCTATTTATTCGGCGTCGTACGTCTACGTCTCAACTGGGGCAGGGACAGATATATTGCTCTATTCGGCACCATCGATGCACATATGTATGAGGTCAAATTGCCACATTATACCCCACTTGAGAACTTGGGTCACGTTACTGTCAGTTATTCAGTGTCGTACGTCTGTGTGATCTATTTATTCGGCGTCGTACGTCTACGTCTCAACTGGGGCAGGGACAGATATATTGCTCTATTCGGCACCATCGATGCACATATGTATGAGGTCAAATTGCCACATTATACCCCACTTGAGAACTTGGGTCACGTTACTGTCAGTTATTCAGTGTCGTACGTCTGTGTGATCTATTTATTCGGCGTCGTACGTCTACGTCTCAACTGGGGCAGGGACAGATATATTGCTCTATTCGGCACCATCGATGCACATATGTATGAGGTCAAATTGCCACATTATACCCCACTTAAGAACTTAGGTCACGCTAATGTCAGTTATTCGGAGTCGTATGGCCGCGTCTCAACTGGGGCAGGGGCAGACATATTAATGTCCCAAGAGTCGTTTACATCATATTTACTCAACAAACTGACGGTTATAGGAAGCACGCAAGAAGACTAGTACAATTATATTTGTTATGGGCAAAATGATTCAAGATGAGCTTTTTCATTGATAAATTGAATGAGTACAAATGATTCACTTTATATATGAAAAAGGACCTATTACAACTCTATAGGAGAACAAAAAACAAATACAAACACATTTTTGCCTAGTTTGCCCAGTCACAAAACAGGGTTAGTTTCAATCGAGCCCATAGCTCCATTTGGCTTTAGGGTTCCTTAGGGTTTGATTCCAATAGCTCCACTTCTTTTTTCTCATAGGAAATCGGCATATCAAGTGTCATCTTCGCAGCCGCCAAAGCTTTGAGCCAGCCATGTTTGAAGCCCCGATTTTCAAATTTCAAGGCTTCATCAGTATACTTCTCCATGGCCAACAGTTCTCTAGCATCAAACACTTTGGACGACTCTGCTTCCGCCTACTCCTTCTCTTTTTTGGCCACTTGGAGATCAGCCCTAAGTTTTTCTATCTATTCTTTTGTCGTTGCCAGAGCGGCGTCAGTTATATCGGCCCTTTCTTCGGCAGCCCTCCGAAGTAGGTCTATATGTTTTTTTCTCCCCCTCTTCTGCAACGGCCCTTGCGTGTTCTTCATCAACTCTCCTTGCCTTGGCCTCGGCTTTTTTTGTCGCCACCGCCAAGTCAGCAATGGCCAACTTGGACTTCATCTTTTCTTCTTCTACCTCTAATTTAAGAGAGCCGATTAATTCTACGGCATAGTGGTGATAGCGTCCAATTTCGGCAATCCATTCTGCAGCCTGAAGCAAAAATAAAAAGGCAAACGTAAATATACGTGCAATAAGCGATAGTTTTAAAGTTAGATGAGCACTTCGGACGAATGCTACTCACCAAAATGGCCGACTTATTTTCGGTTCCTGACCCAGGCAGGTCCTCTAAATCAATAAAGATATCCTCTTCTCAGGAGGAGAAGTTTGTTCGGCCAAGTGGAGGAGGGCTATTCCTTTCGTCAAAGCTGATTTGGTTGAAAGCTAGGCTAACTTCTCTAGCTAGTTTTTGTTCCTCTGCAAGGCGAACATCCAATTCGACGGAAACGTCTGAATCGACACGATCTAGTTGGATCTCTTCAACACCTAGATCGACGCCTCCTCCATCTTGTACAACCATTTTGCCTCCTTGTTCGCCGGCTAGAGACCCTCAAAGACCAATATCTCTAAGGTTGGTAAAACTAGGGAATATTAGCGCTGTGAGCTGTTGTTTGCCTCTTGGAATGTGATCTTATAGGGTCATATCTTAATAATATGTAGGCGGTGCGTCCCTACTCTTAGAGATTCGGACAACCAACGTAGTGAAGAAAGGTCTTCACTTAAGCAAGCACAAGTTCGTCCGCCGAAAAGAGAGCTTTCTTGAGATCGTTACCTGCGCACAAAACAAAAACAAAAACAATCAGCCTAATATTTCAAGCCGAATAGAAATCAAATTGATAAAAGTCCTATTCAGCCACCTGGCTCGCCTTTCCGTCTAGGCACTGGGTGTAGGTGCTCTTCTTCTTCGTCGAATTTCCAATTGCCTTGGATGGCAACCATGATGTCGTCGACCCTCTTGCCAGAGCTGGCAAGCATTGTAACTAAGTGGTGGTCTATATCCTTGGCTTTTAAGAAATATTGGCCTTGCCGACCAGACGATTTAGCCAAGGCATAACAATGCCGAATAGCAAGAATCCCAAGGTTGAGCCCGAGTCGGCAATTTAGTTCGATTACGCTCATTATTATTTGATAGAAGTTTACGTTGGGCTGGGAAGGCATCAAACCCCAATGATGAAGAGCGGATCGAAGAAGGGGATGGAGGGGGAAACTGACTCCACCCTCAGCGATTGATAGCAAAGGGAATACAATTGTGTTCGTATTAGCCCTTTCCATATCAACCACATCGTCCCCAACAAGAGTCATTCGAACGTCATGTAGGATCGAGAAGTGGCGGCGAAAGGAGGCTACTCGATCCTCAAAAAGAAGGGCTTTCAAGTATTTCGCCATGGCAGCAAAATGAGAAGGCTAGAACAAAACAGAAACAAATAGGAAAGGATTGAATTGAAATTACTCAAGAAAAATAAAGGGAGAGGCTTAGAAGACTTACATAGTAAAACAGAAGAGACACGAGCTACAAAGAGGGCAGAATAAACGCGATGACTGTTGAAGATGGAGAGTTGTAAAGATGGACCAAGTATGAAGGTCTTTCAAAAAAATGGAAAGGATGAGAGTTTCAAATCGCATTAAACGAATGACAAGCACGAAGGGGCGGAAGCTGCAATCGTTTCATGTCACATCTCTGACATGTTAGCAATGGAAGGGACGCGTGCGTCGTATTCTCGAAATTTATGAATTTCAAGGCATCTTGACAATTTTAGCCGAACGAGATTTGCTCAGCAGTCGAGAATGCCGACTGTCTCAGATCGCCGAGTACTCGGGGGGGCAATTGTGGGAGCCAAATATATGAAACTCAATGTCCATTGGGCCGTATAGGGTCAAAGCCCAATGGGCCATGGATAGGTTGTTGAATAGCCATAGAGACCCATGAAATCGAACGTTCATGCCATAAGCCGAAGTTGAGTAGTCCAGCGGAAACGGAAGGACCCTATTGGACCAAACTACTGGCTCATCCCATAAAAACATGGTGACTAGAAAAAGACTATAAAAGGAGGGGAGGAGCCTAAGAGAAGGGGCATGCAAAAAATAGTAACTTAGACCTCAAGTAAGAAAGAATACCAAGGACCCAAAGATACAACTGATTAATCTATCGAAGTGAGAACTCCAGCGCCATTGACGGGAGTTGTATATCTATTTCAGGCAATGTCAAAGGGATCTTTGAGGCCTACCTGGAACTGAGGAGTATTTCCTAAAATCCACTTCCCCACACACATAACACAAGATATATGTTGTTCGACAATGCTCTAATGTTTACAAAGGAAAGGAGATCAAATTCACTATGTACAATAAGGATTGTAGAGTTTTGAACGTCTCAACTTAACCATTCTATAATATTAGCCGTTCCTTATAATGTCCCTTGTAGTAAATCTGAGTGTACAATAAAAATACACATCTTACACTTATATATTGGATCCACAATATTTTGTACATGGAAAATTTTCAACTTAAAATCCCCATTCATATTCTATTTTATTTTATTTTTTCAACAAGAGAAATGGGTTGGGTGGAATTAAGCATCTTTATACTTAGTATATTCCAATTACTCAACTTTTAGATGGGATAAAAAAATAGGGGGAACTACATGCAGACAAGAGTTGGAGAAAAAAATTACAAACACGTAGGGGGTGCAAGTGTTTGTGGTGAGGTGCAAGTGAAAGGCTGTGAAGGTGCCCTTCCATGTGTTGGTAATCTTTTTTCCCTAACTCCCACATGCATGTAATTTCTCCTAAAAAATAGTCACCAATTCAATGATAGCGTTTTATTTTCTTTCTTTACAACAAATCTATTGCTTTTGCTCATTGAGTAGAGGTATGAAAGAAGTTGAGTTTTAAACAAGAAATTTCGCATTTTCAATTGAACTTTTTTTTCTTTTCTTAAAAGTTCCATTCAATATGGACTTAAACAGTATTATTAGAAGAGAATAGAAACTATGAAATATCTCAGTAATTGCGGGATTCTAACATTTCACCATATCTATATACAACCTTAAAAGTTGCCTCCTTTTGATGTTCTTAGACAATTCATGTCTCAAACTAGAAGATGATCAAATTCAGGTCGATTCATCCTTTCAACAACACAAAGATTGTATGAAGCTCAAAATACTGGCAATGGTGTTGCTAAGAACAGCTTTGATTGTATCAGCTTCAATTTGGATTTTATCTTTTCAAGAGTTTTGACACAGACAAATGACTGACCTGAGAAAATTCACTTCAAGCTCAGTAACGATAAGCAGTTCATGGAGAACCCACAAAGCCACTTGCCACGAAAGTATAAATTTCATCAGAGAAAAGGATGATAACATTCCAAATGCAGAAAACTAAATGAATTTTAGCTAAAATGCCAAAACTTGCTTCATTCGCTTAGGTGCATGTGCTAGACAAACAACATTACAATCATCAGAAGCCATTTGCGATTATACTACAATCTGGAAGTGAGCTACAACAAATAGCACACAACCCTACAACTGAAATAAGGAAGATACAATAAAATGTATTCTTGCAAAATGAAGATGTACACTTTGATGAAAATCAACACCTTGAATACGTGGCAAGATTAACAGGACAGATGCAAAAGACGTGAACGCTGTCAACATCATGATTTTATAACAGTTACCAAGGCTTCAGATCACCAACAGGGCCGGCTGTCCAGTTTAAGATCTTCTCACCTGACTTCAAGTAAACGCCCTTCTCATGTGGCAACTTACGTGCAAGTCCGTTCAAAATCTGATGGAATGCATCACCTGATTGAGCAGGTTGTGGGAACAACATTGCCTGCTTCATTGAAGGGTTGGCAAGCAATCTCTGCTTCCTCAAGATGACTTCTGGAGGAATTGATGTGAGAATAGTGTCCAAATTCGGAACGTCTTTCTCATCCACGAACACTCCAATTTCTTCCCATGGTATTGCATCGGCAAATGGGAGAACGATGTCATCTGCAATGATGACGGGGATGCAACCAAATATCACTGCTTCGACCAGTCTCGGACTCCATGGGGCCCACCCGAGTGGGCACAAACAGAAAACTGCTCGTTGCATGTCTTCATAGTAAGTTGTTGGGTGCTCCGTGGAGATGTCGAAAAGAGGATTGTCCTTGAAGTTCTCCCACACTGATGCCCGAGCACCTCTGAAATTGGAAACAAAATTAAATTTTCTCTTTGCTTAAGTTCCATTGCATAACAAAAGCACTAGAGAAACTAAACTGGTATTTGGGGACTCGATCAAAAAGCCAGCTTTTGCTAAATAAATCAAGAAGCCACCATTCGTTTGAGAATAGATTATTTTAGTAACTTTTCGGCTTTTTGGCTAAAATATGAGGTGAAAAAAATTAATATATTTGGGATGATTTTTTAAGTTTTTTTTATTTATGAAAAAATATGCAAAAAGTAGAGAGGAAAGAGAATCTATGACTTTTTTTGTATAATTCTTGGATTTTTTTTTTGGCTTTTTTGGTAACTTTTTGACTTTTTGACTATTTTTCTAACTTGCCAATCTTGCTTAATGTTTGTTATTACTTAAAAAAGTCAAATGTCACATCAATTTTTTTTCACTCAAAAAAATCAACTTTTTTAGTAACTTTCCAAATGCATTAGCTTTAAGGCTACAAAAAAAAGAAGGAAAAAAAAAGAACCCTAAACCCAGGCTATCCCACTCGAGTGAGGTTGGCTAGTCCCCATTGGATGGGGATCTAAAAGGGTTGATTGGGTGCAAACCTAACCTTTGACATAATTTGCACAAAGTGGCTACCCTCCGGTTCGAACCCACAACCTCAAGGTTATTAGGCCGAGTTTTGACCACTAAACTAGAGAAATCATAGAAATTAAATGTTGTCTTGGAAGAATATACCTTGCATAATAACCTCCTTCTGGATCGTTTCCCACATCATAAAATAAACCTCGGAAGTAGACAAAAATGGAACGAGGAGTTTCAGGGGGGATCAAATGGGCTTGCATTTTCTGTGGAGGAGCATATGGAGGAATTGTGATTGAGCCGTCTTTTAAGCAAACATGATTCCGTTGTCCAAAAGTTTGAACCAAGGTTGCCCGCTGGAGCAATGTAAGTATTCCCCTTTCAATAGCTTTTTCTTCCTGCAATTATGAACAACAATGGAAACAGTTGAATAAGAGTTAACAGTGCGACACACATTAACAATACAAATTCACATTTGGGTACATCTGAAGATTGAGGGTGTGTTTGGTTTGTGTTTTGAGATAAATTTTTAAAAAAAATTTTGGGAAGAGAGTTTAGAAATTTTTTTGGTTTGTTTGGTTGTATATTTTGAAAATAGTTTTAGAATTTGGGAGTTTGGGATGATTTGATTGAGTAGATGTGTGTGAGAGAAAAAGTGATTGAGAAAAAGAGAGGAGAGAGAAAAAGTGATTGATTAATGTGTAGAAGAGAGAGTGATTTTGAAAATTGTTTTCAAAAAATTTGAACCAAACAAAATTTTGAAAATTTTTCTCAAAAATTGTATCTTGAGATACAAACCAAACAAGCCCTAAAAACTTGAGACCAGATGTGAACATTTGGAAATGAATCTAAACAATATATCCAATAAAAATAAAATCAAGAGAAATAACGGTGGAGAAAATGATAGAGAATCAAACTTCTTACTTGGTAGTGAAAGCATGCGCCAAAATCATGAGGTGTTATGAAAAAGTGATCAGCCCCTTCTGTCCTATTCCAATAAGGCCAGTTAGCAGAAATAAGCTGTATCGCACTTCTCATCATTCGTGGTGATTTGAACGGTAGAGGGAGGCCATTTGGTGTCAGGTCACAAGTGGTATATACAGGGGTATAGAACCAATCAGCTTCCTCGGGATTAAGGGTCCGTACAGGGCTAGATAACAGGAATCGATGCATGTAGATCTCGGCAGCAAACATGTGGTTGAGGCATCTGGGATCCTTCTGCAGAATCTTCTTGTTGTATTTGCTTGGAAGCTCATAAACAAAAACTTTCAACCTTCCCACTGGATCATCTTCCAAGACATCTCCAGCACTACCTAAATTATTCAAATTCAAGCACAATCAAAGAATACTTCAAAATTCTGGAAGCGACATTTTAGAAGTTTGAAAATTTCCAAGTAACAAGACGACTTGAATATGCACGGAAAAAACTCAGTCAATTAAGCAGGCAAAACACCATTGTGTGTTTGGTGTTTCTATATTTTTTGTGGGCAACCTTCTAGGAGAAAGAAATCAAATATAAGGACAGATATCACTTATTTCAATGAATTACTTAATAAATTAACCACTTGAGAAATGTTGTGAGTGAAGAGCTGTATAGCATGTTTCAATCTGCAAGAACATAAAAACATCCACTATACTTTAGATGGTACGTTACTGCTCCAAAAGTGGGCTTCATTCTTCACTGTAAATTAGAGGTGGCAAATGGGCGGGTTTAAGCATATTTGGGCCGGACAAAACGGGTTATGCATTTGAACAATCCAACCAAACCTACCCATTTAATAAACGGATTTAAGCAGGTTGGGTTGAATTGGATATGGATAGACAAATAAACCCGAGCAACCTGTTTACTTTATTGAATTTTTTGTTCCAACAGATATTGGAGGTGGAGTGGAGGCGGCGATGGGGTGGTTATGGTTGATCATTGGCAGTTCTTTGTTAAGGAATTTCAAGATGCAATGGAGTTCAATTTTTGTTTTATAATCTTATTGGTATTTATATATAAATACATTGTGATCAGATTGAAGCAAAGGAACCCCATTCCAAATATGTTTAGAATATTAGAAGTGATGTCCGCTGGTTTTTGTACTCTTGGCAATAATTAGATATGTTGGTCAGTATTTGCCTTCACTAATGGTGGTGGCGGCCTCCGCCGCCGAGTTGTGGTGGTGGTGGTAGTGGTGTGGCGGAGGTGGTACCTATTTAAATAAGTTTAAACAAATACCCATGTCCAACCAATTTAAATTCAATTTTAATGGGCTTGCAAGATGCAACCCATTTAAACCTGTTTATGGATTTGGATGGGTTCAGGATTTTAAGTGAGTTTAATTGAACAGGTTCATGATTTTAAGTCGAGTTTGCCACCTATACTCTAAATCCATTTCAGCACCAATTGCAAAGAATAAGCAAGAAAAGACTCTTATCTTCTTCTTCAATAAGGGAAAGCCACAAAAAATACCACTCAAGCTCAAGCTAACAGGGTGTATGAGCACTACATCTATCTACAAGATGTCTGCATAAACAAGAAAACTAAGTGATTTTCTCATCCTTCTCAGATTATTTATTTATTTATTTTTGCTGGTCATCCTTTTCAGATTAAAAACAAGGTTTTATGTTTTGATCATAAATGAAACCTAACATCCAAATGAATGAGTCCCTTCCATTTTGGCACGGCTACTGTCTACTTTGAGAAAAAGAAAAGAAGGCATCACTGCACACCCAGAACTAATGACATTATTATAATCAACTGCAAAATAAGGAAGTTTTACAATTTTGCCACATGCTAATAAAATTACATACATTACCAATTACATAACCCAACAAAGCTTTATCTCATCTTTTTCCCATCAGAATAATTACTTACAGAGCAACTCAACCTAGTGCCCTATATTCTATTAGAGTCACCATGTCTCTTATGCATGTCATTCGCTATCACAACCATTAAAAGACATGTCAAACAATATCAACGTGGTAGAATATTGTACTATCCATTGTTGACTTCCGTTGTCACTCAGGGACAGTAAATACCATAACCCCACTAATTATACAAACTTTAAATATAGTGAGGCTGATATTAACATTATATTTAATTTAAGCTAACAAAATGTGAATAACGGAGCTCCTATTTTTAATTGACATGTCTGAAACTCTGCATGCACTGGTGTAACCCAAGAATTAACAAAAACTAATGCTAGTATTCAACATATACTAAAACAAAAAACTCTTAACAACATTTTGAAGGAAAGATATGTACAAAGGACTGTGCTTGCATTCAACAGATATTAAATTAAGTCAAATGCAAGTCCCTGGGTGGATGCTGAAGCATTGAATCTAAGACACCATCCTCAAAGGCCTCTCTTGAAGAAATCCAATGCTTTGATGCTACATTCTTTTGTGAAACTAGAACACGGTCTTGAAAGTTCTAAATGATTTTGTTATTGATCAAGACCCCCACCAGCCGCTGTCAACTTCTGAATAGTCAAAACTACTCTTCATTATGGCAACTGCGCCGCTCAAATGCATAGACTCTAGTAGACTAAATGCCATTAAGTTGAGCTTGGGCAGCCTACTAGGCTGAAACCTACCCCTTCAAACCACCTCTACAAGTTCTCTGCCATCCCCATTATGACAATTAACCAATACATGGATATAACAATACAAATCCCATCAACTCAATTCAACTCAACAAGTCTTTATAGTTGTCCCAATCACTCAGCTCTGGCTATGTTGTGCTTAGTATCTCATATCTTGCATAGCCAGAACCCACGATCACAGAAAGGCGGGTCTTGGTAGATTGACAACCAACCTAAGAGTTATAATTGCACCTTATGGACACCATTCTCATACCTTATGTTCCAATCTTATTGTTGGGGGGTGGAAGAAAAAAAAAAAAAAAAAAAAAAACCCTACTCATGAGCTATGACTGGCAATCTCAGAAAAGGAAAAAAAAAAACCGTACTCATAAGCTATGACTGGCAATCTCAGAAAGTTTTCAGATTCCTTGGGCCCAGAACCCATTCGCTGTTATACACTTCGAACCTGCTGGGTATCCTCTATAATAATACTCATCATGAGGCATTTCAAAAGGTCAAATCTTTTGGTACCTTAACAGAGCTCCTTGCCTTAGGTCCAACCTCCTCATGGTGGCAATAGTGCCCTAGCATTGCAAGTCTGCCACAGAGCCCTCTTGACTGTTTTCTTGTGTTGCCCTCTGCATATCTTACCTAATAGTTAATTGATACAAATTATAATCACGTAGATAAACCTAATACACACTGCGACCAGACCAGTACAAGGCTGTTTTCTTGTGTTGCTCTCTGCATATCTTACCTAATAGTTAATTGATACAAATTATAATCACGTAGATAAACCTAATACACACTGCAACCAGACCAGTACAAGGCTGAAGCTAAAAGAACTAGGATAATCTGCCCTCTATGTTCAGTGCAGCCAGATTGGTCCTCTTATTAAAACTCTATGGCGGTGTTTGGCAACTAGGTTTTTGGGTTTTTTTTTTTTATTTTTTTCACTACAAGACAAATGTTTTACAAAATCAAAAAAATCTAATCCAAACAAAATATCACATCAAACCTCATAATCATTTCACTTTTTCTCTCACAAACATCACATCCAATCACAAAAAAAACCCAACTATCTTTCTAAACACAAAAAAAAAAAATTCTCCAATAATATCCTACAACTAAAAAAACCTAAAAAAAAACCCACTTCCCAAACACCCACTATATTCTCAATTCAATTTAAGCTAGATGCTAAACCAACTCGATCCAAATCACATTGCAGTAGTGTGTATAATGTATTAAGTATTGTTTACTCCACATTCAACGCCTTTGTAGCTCCTAGAATAGTTTGGTTAATTCAAGTTAAAAAGGGACCAGCCCAACAGTTTGAGTGTAAAGGGCTATATGGCCACTAGGAAGCTTGATGCCAACTGCAGATTGTCAAGGTTCATAACACCCTCAAGTCCAAATATTATAAAGGGAAGACAATGCATTGCAGACACTCATTATCAAGCTCTCTCAGATCCTCATTTAACTAAAACGGATTTGCACCAATTCAATAATGATGCAACAAATAAGATTTGAGATCTTAATATTCTCCACAACTCACTTCGGGGAAGAGAGAGAGAGAGAAAGAGAAATTTATTTTAAGCATCAGTATCCCACACTATTTGGCCAGTTTCCAGGACTCCACATAATGATGAAATCGGTAATAAATAGTTCCAAGGAACCAATGTACAAAATCATGTTCTCTCTATGATATCAGCCAATTCCCTTTTTACTTCAGAGTTCAGACCATTTAGATCCTTTTGCCAATTATCGTGTCTCATGCTAAGTTCCCCATTGTGCTCCTTCATAACCATTTCCATGAATCAAAATCTTTTCTTCAGCTAAAGTATAAGAGTTTATCACAAACATCCAAGTCAATTTTTTACTTTTGAAATTTTAAAAAGGGTATTCCATAATGTTGGTGCCTTGACCTATGTTACTAGAAAACGCTAATACCCTAGCAATTTATGTATTGGTATGCATGTTCCGAAACATGGTACACTTTCATTCTGAAACGGTAAATTTGCTGATCCAAAGCGATCCCAAAAGTTTTTTTCCAATATATTTCTTTAAATGTTACCTTAGGAGAAAAAAAATCAAATATATGAACTAAAATCTAAGGTGAGTTAAGTCTTGACAAGACAAAAAAATAAAAAATGGGTCATAAGTTTCATAGAAATGATTTGCTACATGAATATTTTTTTTATTTTTTTATTTTTTATACCTGATAATTAAAAGAAAATTACTCTAGAAGTACCTTAAATTCTTAAGTATAATATATATAAGTCTACTCTTATTGCACCACATTTTAGAGCATATAGCATACCACGTTCCCGTTCCCGTTCCCGTTCCATGTACCGGAACGATCCACGTTCTAGGTACGTAACATAGGCCTTGACTGCTTACAAACCCAACCTTTGGTCACATGCACAAAGTGCCTACTTTCAAACTTGAACTTGTGTTGTCCTATTTGACAGACAGAGTGCCAACCTTCAAACATGACAACACAGGATCACAAAAGAATAGTGAGACCCATGAAACGAACCAACCTGTTGTCGATGGATTGGGTTGGTTTGGTTCTGAAAGAAACTTGGCTTGGGTCCAAAAAATCATTGGGTTCAACCACTGGGTGAACCGAACTAACCTGAGACCTGACCCCTATACATATTTTGGAAGAAAATTTGTATGTCACACAAATATACTTGATATATCTACAAGTTATTGGCTAAAACAATCATTAAAATAGAAGCTAATATACATAATCATCATATATTTGTAATAGAATCACTATAATTTGACTGAATTGCTTTCAAAGTCTTCTACAATAATAACATAGCTTTAGAAACATGAATATGGACATAGGACATGGATAAAACAAATTAAAAACATTGTGCCGTGATAATTTTTCAAAACAATAAGGCACAACACAATGGACATGACAACAAAAAGTATCTATTTTTATATATATATACATGAAAATAATAATTGTTTCTTCATTTTTTAAATTGCTATATTTTCATTATATCAAAAAGTATAATTATTTTCCAGATTCTACATATTAAAAAATAATTAAAAAAAAAGTGTGAACAATAAATCCTAATATCTATTTGGAAAAGTTCTATTCATGAATAGTTGGAATTTTTTGGGATTCAGATTTTTATAAAATTAGAAGCATAAATTAATAGGAATTAATATGTATAAATTCACATTAATTTGCTTTTATCAGTAGATTCCAACCCAAGTTATGTTCTTCAAAGTTACAATATGTTTTATTTGTCTAACTGTTAGACACGTATGTCTACCAACTACCAAGTGTGCAAAGCATGCTGGTGGACATGTTTGGATTATTAAGTCACCAATTGTCCCGAAAGCTTAAATTGTTAGGAAATGAGTTTAACAATGAAGGTGTTTGGTGTAGTTTATCTGAGTTGTTTATACCTTTTTATTTTGGGAGTTTGTGTCAGACTATTTAATACGACTTCTGCTTATAGCTTATTAGATAGAAATAACTTAAACAAACTGGGGGAAAAAAAAAGAAGCTAGTTTTTGGAAGCTAGCTGAAGAGTACTTTTGGTTTCTACTTCTGGATTATCAACTTTTACCTTACAATAAGTTGCACCAAATACCACCAATGTATATATCAAGCTATTTAACACCCTCCCTCGCGTAAAATCCCATCTTGCATATGGAAATGTAAACATCCATACATATAGAGAAGAAGTAATAAAAACAGGGGCCAAATCCAAGTGTAAACGCAGCGACTTGAACCCCGTGAGTGCTGATACCATGTTAAAGTCTCCAATTGCCCCCAAAAGCTTAAGTTGTTAGGAAATGAACCCAACAATGTTATCAAATTATTCAATAGCGTGTTAAACACATGTCGAGGAGTGTTGTCAGTGTTTGATACAGACACAACACATTCTCAGAAATGTCCATAATTCTTAGTATATACCTAGAATTGTGCATTAACCTAAACCAACACGATATTTCTTGATTCGGTTCGTTTCTGGGGTCTAAAATTTTGGAACTTACTAAGTTCGGTTTGGTTTTGGGTTTAATACTAACCCAAAATGATCCATGCACACCCCTATCCAGATTATAGATTCATGATGAAGAGGCTAACAGACAAGATAATCAGCTTTTTTTTCCTATTAAAAGAAAACAGACTTCTTTATCATCAATCAAAGAAAATGTGCACAACTTAACAAAATTAAGACACTAGATCAGTGTTCTGGATGATTTATATACCTTTTGCAACAAACCTGAAAATCTAAATCTACTATGTTTTAACTTCTACATCCAAACACAATTGTCGTATTATGCTTTTAAAAGAAGCAAAATCCGTGCAAGTTGCCACTGATAATGAATGTTAAATTTCGGCACAATGCTGGCAATTTAATCTATAGCACAATTGATCAATAAGGAAGCAGCTTGAGGAAATGGTAAATCCAACTCCAACAAATGCCAGGAGGTCACATTTTTGCAGTAATTACAGATTTGTATGGACCAAAACTTGTCCCAAATTCCCAATCTTTTTTTTGGTTTTGTAAACATTTCCCAATTTACACTAGACAGAATGTTAAGTCAATCCTCCTAGACATATGGGATTGATTGGATCATTGGACTGTTGGACTTAATAATATATATTTGGTAAAATGAAACGGGGAAAAAGAAAAAAGAAAAAAGAAAAATAAAGATATTTGGGCAGAGCAATTTTACCATACAAATTCCATTTTGTGGTAAGTAAACCCAAGAAGCACATCAAAAGAAACCCTAGCTCCTAATTGTGACACACATGATATATCACTGCCAAAGGCAACACAAAGGGTGCCCAAATCTTTTATTTATTTATTTAATTTTTATTTTAGTGTTTTTAGATCCTCAAGCTGCCCAAATTAATAGGCCCAACCCCCAAGAAAGGAAACAAATCCAAATCCTATATTACCTGAATAACCAAATCATCTCAAACAAAAGTCAAAAGAAATTAACCCAAATGAAATCAAGATAACTATCAAATAGAAAAACAAAAACAAAAACAAAAAATAAAGATAAATTCAACCCAAAAATAACAAACAACCGACAAGGAAAAAATTTCCATAAAAATACAAATATATCCATAAATAAAAGCCAAAGATGATCCCACCTGAAATTCGTTCAGTTCGTTGACCCCTGCCTCGCTCCACAGCACCATCAATCTGCAAAGACGCAAAACAGAGCAGCCCAACAAAAATCCACCTCCAATTCTTCATCTTTAGTCTCTCTCTCTCTCTCTCTCTCTCTCTCTCTCTCTCTCTCTCTCTGAAAGAACAAATCTAAATGTACAAAAACAACTAATAGAAAAGAGAGCAAAGAAAACCCAGAAGGGTGTTTTGAAGGTATGCCCCAAAGATGAGAGGAATGAGGACTCTACTTAATTGGGAGGAGAGAGAGATAGTTGGGATGTCATTAGTAAAGAAATGGGTAGTTGTTGTTGGAAGAGTTTTCTTACAAATTGGGCTTTGAGCATCTAGGAGGACATTTGGTGGATTTCAGGCAGAAGAGAAAGAGACAGCTCAGAGAGGGAGAGAAAGAGACTGAAAAAGAAATGGGATGCGAAATTGCTTGAAGAAACAGGGAGGAAGGGCAAGAAGAAGGTTTGGTTTAGCTGTGAAAGCTCTTTAAAAAATGATTTTTATATGATTTTAGAAATTTGTGGGTAAAGAAAGATTCTTTAGAGAGAGGAAGGAAGAGCTTTTTTTGTTTGATGGCAGGTCTCGATCTCAATACCGAGTCGCTATGCCTCACAAGTCAAGGCTGTTCAACCTTCAACCTCTCCTGTTTTTTTACAAGGCCGCTGCTACTCTTTCTTCTTTTTTTTTTTTTCTTTTTTTTTTTCTCTTTTCTTTTTTCTTTTCTTTTATTTTTTTAGATCCCATTCTTTTATTTTTGGATTATTTTTTAATAAATTCTTTTTCGAAATGTTTTATTTCATTTAGCTCATTTTCTTTTTGAATATTTTATTAAAATTAAGTTTGGCAAGTTGAGAAAAAGTTAAAAAGTCAAAAAATTACTTAAAAAGTCAAAAAGTTATCACCATTCACCAAAAGTCAAAAATTACGGGTGCACAACTCTCAATCCTAATTTTTCCAAAAAACAAAAATTATACCAAAATACAATGTGAATGCTCACAATTTACAATTAATATACAACTAGCTTTTTAAAAAAATAAATTTATACTAATGTGACCATTCACACTGTAACGTGAAAATATAAAATAAAATTGAAAAAAGTGAAAATTGACTATTTCGATTATTCAGTGGTAACAAAAATGATTATTCAATGAACAAGCATAGTAAAAACAACAACAAGATACAACTAACTTTCGAAAAATTTAAAAAAAAAAAAAAAACTCATATCAAAAAACAATGTGAATGTTCACAATTTACAATTAGCATACAACTAACCTTAGAGAAACTAAATTCACCAATGTGAACATTCGCATGGCAACATGAAACAAAATTGAAAGAAAAAAAAATACGACTATTTCAATTGTTTAATGGTAACAAAAAAAATATTTGTTTAAACAACAAGTATAGTAACAAATAACCAATGATATGTGAACATTCATATCTTGCAAAATATATAATTATGTCCATATCTATATTCTAGCACTTAATTCTCGGACTTTCAAATAATGTGAAATGTGAACATTCACACTGATTGACAAAAAAAATAAAAACAATGACAGCAATAGAATTAGAAATCCAAAAAAAAAAAAAAAAAACTCAATCAATTAAAAAATAAAAAAATATCACCTACATCCTCATCTTCATCATCATCTTTATCATTATCACTATCATTAATAATATATGCAATTTCACTATTCCACAAATCCAAATCAAATCAAACCAAACCCCACCTTTGAAGAATATGTTTGTAACAAAATTGGCTAGACATAAATAGAGTTTTGACTTACAACAATAGAGAAATATAGAGTTTCGAACACAGAGCAATAATGGACGAACACAGAACTTCGAATACAAAGTGACAATGGAAGAGCACAAAATTTCACCGCAACAATAAAGGAACATAATATTATTTCACCACCATGTGTAAACTAGAGTTTCTAAACCCTACTAAATAGAGAGTTTTGAAACACTAGCACAATGAAACAATACCACAAATATGAATGAAACTAATCAAAAAGAAAAAACGTGAATAATGGTAACTACCAAAATAGAGGTAGCAATAAAAACGAAATGTGTATATCATTTTTCTATATAATACATATCAACAATAGACATAAAGGTGTAATATTATAACAAACAATATAAATAAGGAAAAAAATGATCTCATGGAATAAAAGTATAAATACATGGGATTAACTAAGTTATAATTTTCCTTGGTGGATTTATTGGGTTAGAACACCTCTAAATAGGTTTTATCAATAAAAAAAAAAAAACCTTCATTTTTTTAAGAAGAAATTATATATATATATATATATACTATTCAACCTTTTGTAATAAAATAAATTTTAAAATTTTATTTGTTTTAATTTAAACAATCTGTTTATAATTAAGTAAGAAAAATAATAATATTTTAATCATTAAATTCAATGAAAAATGATATTTTAGATATATTTACATTGAGTTTAATGACTTTTTTTTTTCCATTAGCTTACTTAACGGAAATAATGGTTTAAATTGAAAATAAATCAAAAGATTGAAATTTAAATTGACAAAATTAAAAATTAAAAACTTATTTTATAATAATGGTCGAATTCTGATTTTTTTTTTAAATGTAATTTCTCGTATTTTTTTCTTTTCCTTTTTTTTTGTGATAATTAGGTGTTCGGACTAATTTACACACATGTCAACTAATCTTGGAGGACTAATCCCACCGCCCATTTCCAATAGCCCCATTTAAAGCCATAGCAAATGCTTTATATGGAAATAGTCCCAAATTTCGGAGGACCAATCCCACTGCCCATTTCCGAGGGCCCCATTTAAAGCCAAGGCAAATGTCTTGTATGGACATTGTCCCAAATCTCGAAGGACCAATCCCACCGCCCATTTTTTAGAGCCCCATTTAAAGCCAAGGCAAATGCCTTGTATGGACATTGCCCCAAATCTTGGAGGACCAATCCCACTACCCATTTCCAAGAGCCCCATTTAAAGCTAGGGCAAATGTCCTGTATGAACATGGTCCCAAGGAGCTTATTGTTGCTAGTGGGTATTAAAACTGAGACCTAGAGGGAGCACACCCCTATATCTAAAGTTTTGCCCACAAGGCCAACCCCTTAAAGTTATTTCTCTTTTTTTTATTATTACTGTAATTTTACCTTTAACATAAAATTTTAATTTTATCTCCATCATTAATTTCTTAAATCCTAACTCTATCTCTACCATTGTTTGCCCCTCCTCAACCCCTCTATGCTATCCTTTTCATCGATGTTTTCTTGTTCGCCATCTTTTTTATCGATTTTCCTCTCTCTTTCTCTGACAAACCCTCTAACTCGGCCCTTGTCTCTTTATCGATCTTTCTTATTACTCACTCTCTCTCTCTCTCTCTCTCTCTCTCTCTCAATCACTTGCTTTCTCGTTTCTTTTTCTTGCTGCGAGGGAAATAGTGTAGATTGGGGAGTGATAGAAAAGGGCTACGAAGGTAAAGATGGCTAAAAAGGGAATTGTCGGAGACAGAGGTGCTAGACAACAACGGGAGCGGCTAGGAAAGGCATACCTAACTTAGGGGTTGGTAGATAAGGAGTTGTTGAAGAAAGGGGTGGTAAAAGTGGGACTCTTGAGAAGTAAAAGTATAGTTCACATGAGGGGTGTGTATGTTCGAATTGGTATAATTTAGAAGTAAACCAATAACCAAACAATTACTTATGTTTCAATGAGATTTGAAACCACACCAAATTATAAAAGTTTTGGAACCAAGCTAGACCAAACTAGTAAAACGCTGTTTGATTCGGTTTGGAACCATAATTTTTAGAAATCTAATTAGCATTTGTAATATGATCACAAAATATTATTCACAATTTAATAATTATTTAGTTTGCAAGAGTAATGGGTTCCAACTTATGTATATATTTGATACTAATAAGATATTTAAATATTTACGGTAAATAACAAATTATATATACATCTAAGGGAATAGCTTTTTCACAGCTATCTGTAGCTTGCTTTTCGTGCTCTTTTCGGATACGACTAGCCCTACAGTTCGGACTCTTGTGGTTCTGAATCTGATTTCACAAGTGCAATGTGAAAACAGTGAAAACACAAAAAGAGTCCAAATCCGGCAATTCTTTTTGGAAAATCAATGTTTGAAATAAATGTCAAAAATAGATTGCTTTGCCAGATTATAGAGTCGCCACCTAAATATTTTTAGAAAACTTAGGAAACTCAAGACTCGTGCCAAAGGCCATTAATTCGCCATCACCAAAGTGTCCCGGCTCGGGAACTTAGGTACGAGAGAAGGGAAGGTCATGAATTGAGCACCCTATTCGCCCGATCAAAGATCGACATCTACTAATTATGATGTGTTTTTTATTTACATTATATGTTCTTGTTCCTGTTTAGTAGACTAACATTACTATGTGACGCACATATGTATAGACTAATTTGCAAAAATTGGAACGCTTTGATTTCATGTTTGTTTGAAAATTGTTTTTGATACTCGTCACTTGAAAATGTGAGTTTGTACATTAATCAATTTGCCCCAATTTAAACAATTAGCCTTTACCCACCGACATTCAAACAGGTATATCATTTACGCACTTAGCCTCATGGAATCATGCTTTGATATGGCAACACAAACATGCAATGCATCATGCTAAAACTCAAAATTGCTCACCTAACATTCTGAACCAAAACGAAGCAAAATGATTAGAAAAGCATGCATGCTCCTACCTAATGCAATATGACTAATGCGACACATACAAGTATGCAATTAATAGGCTCGACTATGAGCATGGTATATGATTACAATTCAAGAAATGCGATAAAACACATATTCAAGCAATGAATTCGAATTTTGACATTGGGTTAGTATGATAAGCCGAACCCTAATGCGTGCGAGATGATGGATGCGAATCATAAGAATGCTAATTTGAAAAATGATGTTCTATACTAACCATCGTAAGTAGGTAAATAAAAGGGAGAAAGACGTGGGGTTCGAAGACATACACATTATTACATATTGGCCCTCGTGCAAGAGGGTGCGAATCAATGTCCGAGAGTCCGAATTAAACTAATTATTACAAAACTGAATGAATGAATAAGTAACTAACTAGCTAAGCTATAATTAACTAAACTAGCTAATTTATTAGAACAAAATAAGCTAACTATCTGACGAATCATTGCCACAACAATATGAATTACGATGATAATAATTACAACAATATTGAGATCATTAATTTATAATTTACAATGGAAGCACAAGGATGGCATGCTCGTAGCGGTTTCAAAAGTAACTTTGTCTTCCTTCCTTGAAATCTGTCCTATTTCACCTTCAGTCACTATCCTCTGCTTCTGCAAACACACTATCTTACCAAATATTGATGGCTGGCCGGCCCCTAATGAGGCCCGGCCGGGCCCAAATAAGGCCGGCCATGCCTTAATTTCATGCAAAATCCTGTTTTTGTGTTCTGAAGTGAAAACAGTGCAGACAGAGTTATTCTAAACTCTGTTTTATCCCTTCTATGGTAAGCCTCAAGAGAAGAACGAAGTCATTTCCAAAACCGTCAATGAGCAAATTGATTGGTTACAAAAATTAATGAATGCAATGAATCAATAACCACCCCTTCCTCCTATCATGGAGGCTCAAAGAGGGAGGTAGACACGCCTC